CAGTAGTTTTGCATGATTTAGGGCCCCACTTTAGCTCAGGGGCACACAAAGTTTTTTCACTGACATTGAGACCTTTATCTAAAAAGTTCTTGATTTATGATTAAGAAGAATAAAAAAAGGATAGTCACAGGTTCGGTTTAACGGAAGGGGAATTCATAGTTAATACATAAAGTTAATACATAAATAGATTCCCCAAAAAGGTAACAGGGCTCAGTATTGTCACAAAGAGTAGCTTTCTCTAAAACCATCTAAAATAAATCTGAGATAGCGCTTACATGATCTTGACTCTCTTAGATAAACTGGATACAAATGACGAGGGTGAGCTGAACAGGGCCTTTCTTCATTCTTGATTCTTCCTTGATTCCAAATGGAAAATGAGAAGCTCAACCCTGGAGAGTTTGAGCACAACAGTTTAATCTATCGACCACAACATTATACTTACTTAACAGCATCTTGTAAACTGCTTGTGAGTTAACTTAAAACTCCTGTTTGAGGGGTTTCAATGAAGTCTTTATGACGTTTAAAAGTGACAATAGATTTAAAACTTTTATGAAGATTCAAGTCTTGGGGGGAGGGTGTCAGATGATGTAACCAGTACGGTGTTTCAACAGTCTTTTTTCTGTTTTTGAGCTAGCAATACCGAACATGTTGGCTCTCTGCAGATGGAAAAACAAAACACAAAATCATCATTCAATCTCTACATTCACCATCTCAACACAACTGAACAGTTTTCTCTCTGCTTCCTACTTTGTTTCACACCAGGAAATTTCATGTATGTGACACAGGACTTTTCCCACTTAGAATCTGAAAAAAATAATTATTGTGATTTGCCAGTCCTGTGGTCTTAAAGGTGGGGTAGGCAGGAATCCGTTAAAGAAGCATCTTTTTTTGTGCTGTATATACAAAAAAGCTTTTAATATCAGTCAATAGTTATTAGTTATTGATGACATTCGGTAATTTCACAATATCGCTGTGTTCTCTTATGCCTGTGTAGTCAACATTTTCACATTTTTGGGCGGTCCGCTCTTTCTGACTGTAAACAAAGAAGTTCTCCACCTCCTCAACCTGATTGGTTGTGAGGTGGATGCTGCTCCTTTGTGCTGATTGGTTGTGAGGTAGACATGGCTCCCTCGTGTTGTTAGGCACGCTCCATGTCCTCGAGTAATGTGCACGAGCCCAAACAAAATTAGCGTGCTACAATATCGGACAACAGAAACCAACCAGAAAGTACGAAAAATTGTCTGAATCCTCCTTTGGCCACAACTGCAAATACAAGCAAGAAAAAGGAGTAAATACCAGAGACTCTGGTGAAATAACAGGCGCTTAAAAAGGAGGTAGACCAGACAAGAGCTAAAAAGCCGGGTCAACATCAATGAAGCTAGCATAAACGATGGGGGATGCTTCAGGATCTTACAGACCTTGTAACCTTTCTGCTGGACAGGTAAACCGCTTTAACAAAGTCAAGTGTCCATAACAGAAGTGTTTCTTGTCAAACGGGACCTGCTGCTTGTTGTAGCGCCGCTAAACTGTTTACCTCGGGTCCTGGAGTACGTCACTTAATGCTAGTTGTAGAAGTCCTGCAGACATTGTGTTTGCTGGTAGTCTGTTGGCATCTACAGTAGCACCAATGCTTTTTTACTTTCATGTTGACTGGGCCCCATTTGTAATTATCTGAAGTAATTATCTGCATTATATCTGAATTTAATTCGAAAGATACCAGCGAGCAGAAGTGTCTGTTTATGGGCGGGGCTTGCTGGAGCAGAGAGGTAGGGGAGAGGAGGAGCTGAGGGGAAAACTGGTCAGGAGGGGTAGTGTTTACATTCAAGATTCCTCCCCAAAAACTGGCACTTCCTCAGATCCTGCCTACCCCACCTTTAACTCAGTAGTTGTATTATGTCAGGGGTTTGTAATTTTCCAAATTTTCATGCGTGTGTTTTTTAACATCAAAATCTTCAAAAAGTAAACATGCCTTGTCCTTGAAGGCAGACAGTCAGCATTTCATTTGAGGTGTGCCGCTGAAATACAATGCTGAGTGGGGGCCCCTGTGCTCTGTTACATCATCTGTCATGGCCTCAGACCCAACCACAGCTGCTGGGGGCCTCCAAGTGACAGGTAGGGGATCAGGAGATGAGTGAGTGTGTTTTCCAACTTTGAAACTTTCATTGTAGATGCACTCCTGTTGGAGTGAGTGCACTATAAATTCATGAAGCACCTCCTGCAGATGCTTCCGACTTCAGAGCTGCTCAATAGCCATCTGTCTGTCTGACTGCAATAGACCGGCGTATGACATCCTCATATTAAAAGAACCGACTAAGGGGTATGAATAAGATGAGTAATAATCTTATGAAAGGAATAATCCAGATGAGTGTACCTAATTCTCATCATTGTTCAACTGAGCATTCATAACCCTGCCAGAGATAGTCATCCTTTAATGTTGCGCCCAATGTTATCTATTCTGCTGTATGGAAATAACCGACATATAAAGCGATTTTATGAAGACTCAACGTCAATGCACATATTGGGTTTGTAACGTGCATATTCGATGTATTCATATGAAAATCTTCCTGTTTTTACTGTCCCTATTGTCCCTTTTACACTGGCAGTTTGCAGAAAGCAAGACTGGTTCAAGGGAGCCATCTAGTGGAGACCAGGGGATGTGATCAGTAAATGCATCTGGGTTTAAATCCATCTCCATCTTCTCCATATAGAAATTGAAGAATGCTGGACAAGATAATTTTTTTTATTAGGAAAAAGGCGTTGCAATGTCCGCTTTAAAATGTTATTTTTTTCTCTGGTCATTTTATTGAATTTTTTCTGCATCAACACGTGTGGGTTCATCACCTCAGGAAAGGCAATCTTGCAAGTTGTTTAACTCTGAATTATTAATATTTAGCGATATGAGCCAGGGTATTTTAGCTTCAATCCTCAAGGATAACTCAAACTGTGTGGTTATAATTTCTATTATTGTTGGTTGTTCTGAGAAAGGTCCAAATTATCTACTTTTCAATCAACCTTACAAACTTCTGAACAGTTCTTATTTGGAGTAAGCCCATGAGATTATTAAAATTCACTGATAGCTGGATCCACAGTAATTTTCCTCATCAAATTGGACCAGAGCCTAAGAGGTGTGTGTGCTGGGTAAAAATTGTAATTCTGGTGGGCTTAGATATCATTCTTGACAGTGTGGAAGCTCTAAAGATTCAGGTAATTTGTCTGACTATTTCCACAGTTTGGGGGACACAGCAGATTTTGAAGAAACGACAGGACCATGCCTGGGACTATGCCTCAGTTTTAAGTTCTTTATCATTTGACAGATTTTAGGTTCATTATTTTGCGACTCCAGGGGCTCCTTAAAATATAGTTCCAGATATTAGTTTTTTTTTTTTTTTAGCATTGAATCTCTTTAAAAACCTGCTCAGTAATAATAAACCTTGGGCAAAGTTAGCAGTTTGCTTTTAGTCAACTTTTGGTCATCTCCAGGATACGCTAAAAGGTAAGATGTTTTGTTAGCATGTAAAATGACCTATTGACACTTTCCCATATTGATTGTTCCAGTTGTTTAGTCATTAGTACTTTCTATAGAAATTACTGAACACTTAATAACATACAGCTTAACAAGCAAAGGTAGCAAGTAAACATAGTTGCAGACTTACAGCTTTGGAGCTAAACTTCATATTAGAAATGCACCAATCCATTTTTTTCCAATCCAATCCGATACCGATACCCAGGCTGAGCGCATCTGCCGATATCCGATACCGATCCAATACTACTGGTGAATGAATGAACTGTATACCTTGCCCTGTGAGTGAAGGCATCAGGCTTGACATTCGCCTTGTTAAAAAAAAAAAAGTTAACAAATGAATTAACTTAATTCTTTTTGTGATTGTTAGTAGAATGGCTTCTGTCTGTCTTAAGAGATATTTTTAGCTTGCTTCTATTGTGCTGGGACATTATTGTGGCAACAGATGAAAGGCACTGCCGACACACAACACGTTTTTGGTCAACATCATCCTTCTTGTAACCGAAATAAGTCCAGATAACTGATATTGCTTTTCTTTTTGGCACTGATCCACTGAATTTACCAATATTGGAGCCGATATCCGATCCAAATATCGGATCGGTGCATCCGTGCTTCATATGCTGGTCGGGACAACACTACCAGACTAACTATGCTTAAAGGAGGGTTAATATTGAGTGACACTTACCAAAGAGGCACTTACCAGTCTTCACAAATGCTAATATAGACAACTGATAGGTCTGTGTCTGGTTTATCCTCATAGGTAACTTTAGCAGCCTTCTAAGAGACATTTAGCTTTTAGTGATTTGCAGTCATTGTATGTACATAAGGCTGTAAATGCTGTCGTTTACAAAACGCAGCAGGATGAATCATGCTAGCACATTCCAGTGTTGGTCGACACAGTTCATATATCATTACAACATTGTTCTTGTCCCTTTGCAGCTTTTTCTGTCAAATAAGGGGTTAAAACTGTCCAAAAACTAATCTACAGGAGAAAAGCATGAATGATGGAAAAGCACAAATGACAGCGTGGCCTGCTGAAAACCTGTATTTTCCGTTAAAGGGTGAAGATTTGTGGTGTTTCGTTGGGAGAGCAACGTAAGCACATATTTCATGTAACTTTGGACGCAAGTCATAAATCTCTCCTCTCACGTTTGGATACAGGAGGGCAGAAACTCTCGTCTCTCCTCTTTAGAGGGAAACTGGAGCTCTGAAACTCGTTTGTCTTCATTCGTCGCTCTCAACCTCCTCACACTTTTCCTGTCATAAGTCATACCTCGCAATATATAACCAGCTGCATTGTTCTGCTCCCCCACATCTAAACTCACTTAATCTGGCTTTCACAATAAGGCGAATAAAGATAAATGTCTCAATCTGTTATATTACTGTCACACACCATCTTTGCGCAGTGAGCGGGCGCTTGCTCTTTATCTGAGGGGGAACATGAGACTGTAATTGTCAGACACATAAAAAAAGGAGCCAGTTTAAAACAACAAAGATAATACATTTAATATTGTTTCTCTTTTGGGCAATGCGAGATACAATGTAAACATGTACAAGATACAAAAAAAAGAAAAAGGACTTGTCAAAATGAAAGAGTAGATACGAAAATGTCCTGTTTTCAAAAGGGATGCACATGGGCAGAATGACTTCCATCAAAAAACGGATTGTGTTCACTCTCATTTTACATCACCCCAGTCTGCTGCTGTTAAGTGTTAGGATTTGAACACTGCCGTCTACGTCACCATTTATATGACTATGTGGGCGGATGACTCATCACCGGATGATTCATTGACATTTGCAGTGGTAGAAAAAAAAATCTTCCTGGCTTCCTCATGGCATTTCTTTTGAAAACAAAGAGTTTGAAAGAAGTTCAATTCAACACAATTGGCATTAACAACAATGGTAATAAAAAATAAAGAAAAGAATAGCACCTCCTTTGGTCCAACTCGAGGCCTGTAGTTGTTACTGAGTTTGTTAGTGTTGCTGACATGCTGGTAACAGATTGTTTTTGTCAGAATTTACAGATCAAGAGCTTGATGGCGTCGACTTCCAAGTGTTTTTTTGGCACGCTGCTCTCCACAGCAGGGTGATGACAAACTCTTCTCCATAAATGCAACATGGGAGGTGAAAACAGACTCCACCCTCTCTTAATCTACCTCAGCTGCAACATCAAAATCCGTCACTTCTGGCAGCTCACCTCCACCGCAAATAAACACCCATGCAGGATGGCAGCAGCAGCAGCAGCAGCAGCAGCCGCAGTGCTCTTGATTAGGGGGCTGTTAGTACTGGAATATCTTCAGTCAGGCTTAGGGTTAATTAAGACACACTGTTGTGCTAATTAGAAACGGGGATTCAAACAGAGACAAAGAAAAAGTGCCACAGAGACACAGCTGCGTGCCTCGTTCCTCGACACAGCCTTTTTTTTTCTGGAGCTCAGAGACAACTCCCGCTGATGCCCGCTGGCGCGTCAAACAACCACGATTCTGTGGGGAAGTTTTCACAATGACATAAATAATCAGCATATTCTGATTCACCGGCTTGTTTTTTTTTTTTCTTTTCTTTTTAGAAAAAGTCCTGTAACTTTTTTCTTTTCTTTCGTTCTTCACTCTCACACAGAAACAAAAACTAGATGTTAATTAAAAACCTACAAAATCATCCCTATAATACCTTCCGCCTTCTCCCACACACTTACTCAAACTTTCTTATCAAACCTGCGCCTCAGTCGATCAAACAACTGCCTTTATTAACTCAGCAATCACACTCCTCCAGAGCTGGGTGCTGTGTTGGCTTCTGAATACCTTCTGGGATTCCGCTCCATTATGAATTAAAACTTTTTTTCATTCGACATGAACAAACCTTTCAAATCAGGTGTTATACTTTTTCAACATTCAATTACTTCTTAACGAAATAAGTCAAAAAGAGGCAGAGAATCCGACATGTGAGGCCGCATTTTCTTTGGTTTCATTTGATAAAACTTTTCAGACACCCAGCTTAACTCTCACACCCTCAGGGCTGCGTAAGATCTTAAGACACTGACAGCAAAGGAGCTCAAATCAGATGCAGAATCAGATTTCAAGTTATTCTATGGATGGAAAGCGAGACTGAGAGAAGCTGCTGAAGTGTCAACTTTGTCTCTCGCTGAAGCTGAAACTCAAAGCTTTGTTTGTAGCGAGGAGATTTCATGGCTCTCTTTTGGCAGCAGAGAGCTCATTGGGTATGTCGAAGGAGTTAGACAATATTATTTTCATAGTTGTCATGGTGGAAGAGGCGCCCACTTGTCTTTCAGCTGCCTCTCATCAAAGCAGTTCCTCTTCACCTCGCTCTCACCTTGTCTCCAAGAATCCACTATCTGATCCATCTCATGTCTCCCTGCATCCTCCTCTCACAATCCCCCACCTTGACCTCCCAGTTCTTTTCTCTTGAGTGCACCTGCAAACAACCCATCTCATCATGCAAAAACAAACATGCACACAGGCACCCCCCCTCCAACACACTCACAAACACACCGGCAAACCCCCGCAAAGATATCTCAATCATTTCAGCAGGGATGGACTGAGCCCGGCTGTGTCGAGGAAACGGAGAAATTGAAATCCGTGGCTGGGGGAAAAGAAGAGATAGAAGTGGAGAGCAGAGAGGGAGAAGAATATGCTATGGCAGCAGCTAGTGTTTGAGATTACAGAGCTTAAGGTGCTTCACGCTTGAGAGGTGTCGTCCATTTGTTAAAATAAAAAAAGAGTGAGAATAAAACAGGGTTCTGGTGTTGTGGAGCTGTCTCACTCGGCTGACCTTCAGGAATATGTCAGGAAACTCATATATTTTCTCTGGCATGAATGACTCCTCATCACTACTAAGTTTGTGTGTGTGTGTGTGTGTGTGTGTGTGTGTGTTGGCATGTGTGCGCGTAGTGCTGCAGGTAGAATGCAGAAATATTACATCCACCAATCCCATTTCAATTCAGCGGTGTGGATGCACGCAGGTTTTAGAGAAGTGCTGCTGAGATTGGCTGAACGAATTGAATGAGAAGCCTGTTGCTTACAGGAGAAACCTTACCATTTTGGTAATACGCTTCCTTGGGAGAGTCAGATAAGAAGATTGATACCTCTGTCACGGCGGTTCTCCTAATGGAACGGTACAGCCTGGAGGTAGTTGGCTCAGCTTAACATAAAGACCGGAAACTATAGGGAAACTGGTTTGGGGAGTGAGCCTGGCTCTTAAAATACACCTACCAGCAACTCAAAACCTCACTAGTTGATACTGTAAGGACTGGCCAAAAAAAATACACCAAACAAATCAAATGTGACTGTATCAGTATTAGTTTCCCTTTCATCATATATGCAATGCAACAGGAAAATAACTCTGCTGCACTGAAGTGGGTTTGGGCTGTAGCAGCAGTCTTGTGCATCTCCTAGTGAGACACATTACCTCCACTTGGCTGCATGACTGTGTTAAAGAAGTTAAAGAGAAAATCAAGATTTCAGTTTTTAAAATACTCCCAACTCGACACTACATCGATGATTAGCTCTCTAAATACCAAGTTGCACAAAAGCTGTTGCTTTGTGGAGGTAAGGTGCTCGCTAATGTTTTAGTCAGATGCAGTCACTAGTGAATATCTTGTGTCTGATAAGGAAAAAGCCAATCTTGTTGAGTTTTATAGGTTGTTGGTCACAAATACGAAATGCAAAATTTTTAGGTCAAGGAAAGTTGGCAAGCTTCCCACAGTTGATACTCTAAAAAATAAAGTTGAACTAAATGGCTTTAGCTTTAAGTTTGAAGATCCCCTTTGAAAGTGTTTTAAACATAGACTGTATATAGAATGAATGCCTTCTGCCGACCAGCACCCTCTGGTGACAGGCTGCAGAATAAATCCCGCGTCCTGCAGCAATCCTTATGGAGCTGAGGACAAACTTTAAAAATTTATTACACAGAATATAATTTTTTTCCCCCCTGCTTGAGATGTTGACATGTAGTTACTGTAAGACTGGTTTGTGCTCAAGTCCACTTTTTTTCTGTAAAGATCCATTTTTAAAAGTTATTAAGGGGTTCATATTTTCTATGATTGACACTTGATACAACCTATGGGCAAGCGTCATCACAGTGACTCTCGGCGACTCTCCCACTGGTTTCGAGAAGTGGAGAAAAATTGCAGAAATATCGAGAGCTTTTCGTCTTCAAATCTGTATACTGGTGGAAGGCAGAACCAAATTGTCCATAGTATATACAGTCTATGGTTTTAAATCCTTTCTTGGAATACTACTTTGTCTAATTTCAAACTCCCCCCCTGACCTTGACTATGTGAGAGAGGTATCAACTATTCTTATCGAACTCTTAGTAATAAAGCAGAACAGGATCTTTCTGAAGTATCTGAGTTTTTCTTAAAGGTGGAGATCAAAACAACAGTACGGTTTATGGACACCAGAAGTGAGTATGGCCTGTTCACTCATCATGTCCTCAGCACAATGGCATGTTCACCTGTACCACATGGATAAGGCCTGCCTGGGGCTCAGCAAAGAGAAAAATAAAGGTATTTCTATTTTTGGCATACAACCTGGAAGTTGATGGATTGAACAGAAATGACCTGAAGGAGAACTCATCTCCAGCTGTCTTGTTTACTGCTGAACCTCTCCTGTCCATGTCGCTTTGCCAAAGGTTCCAAATGTCTCCTCCGCCGTGGTGATTGTTAAGGGAAAAGCCGGACTCAGTTTGACAACTGTGGAGTAAATGTCATGAGAGGCATCTGCGTAAGTGCAGAGAGGACACACTCCAGAGGGAACAGGAAATAAAACAGAAAGAAAAACAACAACACAAAAAACAAGAAACTATCAAAATTCCATTCAGGCACAAACGTGACAGCTCAGAGCAGGGCCACCGAGGCCCCTGATGATGGGCCCATGACTCTCCATCTGTGAAGAAGACCCCAGGTGGCTGTAATGTCAATACAGAGTGGGTCAGGGGGTCTCTGCCTTGCCATTTAATCATTCTGTCCACTGCTGATCGGCAGCAGGAGATGCACTCATCCTCAAGTTAGTCATTATAAAAGTCCATCACGTCAGGAGATAATGAGATGTCACACTTCTGCTTTGGTCCAATGAGTATTCTGACGCTTACAGGGCCTTTCCCATCTGCGCTTTTAAAAATGATACACTTAAAATGATGGTAAAAGCTCATGACTGGCAGTTTGACTGGCAATATCTACTCCCCACAGATGTAATGGCATTGTTCACGGTTCTCTCAGACCTTGTGTGACCTTGTTGAAGCTTGATGGGTTTCTTATCTATTGCACATTTCCTCGCGGTACATTTCAGAATTTGACATAAAGGGAAATAAGGAGAGAAAAAGCAAAGATAGATACTAGAAAGTTAAATGTATGCTTGTCACAAAACAATTCCCTCGCTAATTGAGCTGAGTGAATTCATCTTGATCAAACAAAGCAATATGCAATCATAATACGTGCTGGAGCAAAACTTTTAAAGTGATTCAACACATTTACATAATGCCTTCGTCCTGGTGGGAAAGGGTTTTTTTTTCTGCCTGAAAAGCAAGCATTAACATCTAAATATTTTGTTTTTGTTTTCAATTGGTCCTTGTGCAAGTTTGTCATTCATAAAATTGATGAAAAAAAAAACTCAAATACACAGCCAAAGATAATTCAGATGAAGTCTGAAATATGAATAATTTGGTAAAAGTTCTAATTATTCATAGCCTGTGTTAGGCTGTGATGTGGTGTTTTGAAAGAGGGAATAACATGATTGTCAAACCATGATAAGATATAAAATTATTCTTGATAAATACACATAAAATCAGGCATTATGTAAAGAACAATAAAGATGAAGGAAGCGCCCATGATTTGCTAAAGTTGCAGAACACAGCATAGAAAAAAGGAACTTTTTTTTTCAAATTGAAAAAATAATAAATTATTGCCCAATAAAAAAGTGCTACAAAAATAAGTTTTAGCTGCACTTTGAATTTTTGTTTAAAAAAAGGAAAAAAATCATGAAATTTCTGTACAGTCATTGTTGAGACTCACTGTCCAGCAGTGCATTTCTTATTGCACTGAGGTAGAATGGCTTGTAAGCCTCCTGAAAAAAATCAAGTTGTAGTACCTTTTACTTCCCACTAGAGGTCTTTGTTTCTCCAATTCTACCCAAACTTTAACATGGTCACTGTCACTGACAGTGACACCTCTTAGATAAGGTGAGTTAAAAAAATGAATGATTAAATAGTCACAAAAATATAAAATAAATAACATGCTGGGTATTGACTGCATCTTTACATTAATGCACCTTAAAAACAGATTTAAAGTGCACTAATTCACAAAACAGAACCACTTCGTTCTTCATTATTGCCGTCGTGTGATCACAAAGAAACAATCAACAGAACAAAACAAAAACGAAAATGCTTTACTAAAATTAATAACTGCGATCTAGCAGGTACTGTACTTAGTATAATACTATGATACTGTCCAGCAGAAACATAATGAAAAGTTAGCGTTGAGTCTCAGACAGAGCGCCCACACTTTTTAGAAAAACTATTTCATATTCTCTTATTTCATCTCAGTGTTTTGAGTACTTGTTTAATAATTTTGGTTCCTTTAGTGACTCTTGTTTACTGAATACCAAAACATACCAAAGCTGAAATAAATGTAGGTGGGAATGTAAAATCTTTCCAACACCTTGTTTTTCTTATCTGTGTTATCAAATGCCTCCCAGTACTGGTAGAAAAAAAATTGCTTTCAGCTCATTAAAAAAAAACTTTTGGTGATACATTTTAATACCTTGAATTAGTTGTACCCTAAATATAGTCATATCACACAAAATTGTTTTCAGTTTGATCACATTATATGTTTAACAAATATTTCCCTAGGATTCAACTTTTTAACTGTATTTCCAGTATCTGAACGCATCTGAAAAGCATTTCTACAAAATAAATACACAGCAAAAAAAATCTGAACCAAAAAAGTGTTTTTGTCCTATTTCCAGTGAGAAAAAAAATCTCTAAAGTATCATTTTTTTTAAGGAAGCCAAATTCACCTGAAAATGTTAGACAAACATTTGGTTTCAAAAGTATTATGAGCAAAAATAAGACATAAATTACTGAAAAATCTACCAATTGAGTGAATGAAAAGCACTTATTTCAATCCAGACATTAGTTTTCCTTCAAGAAATGTGACAACTAAATGTTTTCCATCCCACTGGAAAATTTTATCGAATCTTCAAAGTAATTCAGGTTTTAATTTTGGCTCCACATATCCTGAAATAAATTATTAAGCAAGACTGCATGCCCCCCTGTACAGAGGTTATGCCTCAATGGGGCAGCCGAGGTTCGACTCCCGCCTAGCTCTTTTCCCATGTCACTCCCTGCTCTCTCTGTCTTGTCCTCTCTAAATATGGGCAATAAAAGCCCCAAAATATCACTTAAAAAGAGTAAGAAATACAACATTAACACAAGCTTGGTTCTGATTTATTGCTGTGTGTTTCATTAAAATAAACACAGAACTCTGTAAACTAGCTTCTGGGTTTTTTTAAGTTATTAGCCGCCCAGATATGAGTATCATTTTGTTCTTTTAGTTTTCTTTTGATATTTCAGCAAACTAAAATGAGTCACTGTTAAATTTCAAGATTATTATTCACCCTGGTATTTGTATATTTATCTACAACAAAGTAAGCTAATCTCTTGGACTTGTGTGCCTGTTGTTGTTTTTTGATGTGAACATTATTCAAGGCTTAGGCTTTTATTCTCTCCAATTTTAGGCTGACGCTTGAATTTGATGAAACAAGAGAGCAGAAATAATTTTCTAAGGATGACTTTCATCGACACAAGAAATTAAAACACCAACAATGAAACAAATAAAAAACTTAACAAGAGTTACATGATGTTGTAGTTTTCTTGATGACTTGTGGTTTAAAATGAGTAAATTTTGGGGTGAATCCAGAGACTGAATCTTGTTGGACCATTTTGTGCGCTCCAGATTATTTTTTTTTATTCGCTCTATTTTCACTCCCTCCTGGAGCTTCTCATTAGCTATAGAAATAATTTGGTGGTTTTCATAGGTCTATGGCACTCTCAGAAGATTTGGTTGATTTAACATTTTGCCATCCACCATTTAGGACCTCCATTCAGGTGAACAAACACAAAAGGCACTTATCGGCCATCATAGTCAGCGATGGGCAGGAACAAGCATAGCCATTACCCTGCTCAGCTTCTGTATTACATGATGCAAACCTCTTTAAGAGGCTATCACTCCCATTCATACCATTTTTAGATCTTCTAGACACAGTCCTCTTCAAATTCCCTCAATTAAGGGTGACCAATCCACATTTCCGTCTCTCATTCCCAGCCAAAATATTTAAAATCTTAATTCTCTTCTTTGTGTACATTTTAGTAAACCAGCACTAAAAGTGTCCTCCGGATTTAAACATCTTTCTTTTTTACACACAGTCTTTTTTAAAAATTTACACTTTCAAGGACATATTGCTTACAGGAGATTGTGGGTAACATTCGTAAGAAATGATGCCACCCATGTCCTTGAAGACATCAAAGAAGAGGGAGGGGAGGGTTGGTTGGGTTGGTTTCATTTTTTCCGCTCAAGGTAGTTGGAGGGGACCCAGCCTTTGCGGGGGAGCAGGCTGTCCTGAACCTGGCAGTACCACCATCCGTTGGGGTTTCTTTCCAAAACCTCCAAACAGGTGCCCTCAGTGAAGCCCATAGTTTCCTCATCGCCGCGGTAGTCAGCGATGGACACGTACACATCCCTGCCCAGGTTGTTGTGAATCAGCTGGCTCTTCTCTATGGGCTTGGGTCGGACTGTGGACACAGGGATGCAGTTTCGTTGGTTGACTCTGCTAAGGGCTTCCTGGACGTTGCTTGTACTGAAAGCACTTCCAGATGAACCAAGGCTGGAGCGCTCTGCCGGCCTCGTCTGACTCTCAACAACTACATGAGGCCTCACGGTGCTGAAGGAGGCGTTTCTGCGCACACCAAGAGTGGCAGAACCAGAGCCGTAGTGATCGCTTCTGCCCAGGGATTCATTTCGCCTCAGAGACCCCGTCATGTAGTGTGCATCCTTGGGTGGCTGTGTTGTTGTCACAAATACAGACTGTGGCCTCACTGCCACCTGGCGTACCCCGTTCCTCATCCGAACCCCTCCGTTTACCATGCCTGAAGGTTTCTGGAAGCCACCAGGAGGCTTTGAAGGAATGGGTGGACTGTTTCTCCTCAGGGCTTGATGCTGCTGGTTCAGACCCTGGATGTTGATGTTATTTAGGGCCAAAACATGCTGCTCGTTTTTCTCCAGGCTGTTGGACTTACTCCCACCGCTACCATGTCCATCAGACTCTAAACGGCCCCCATCAGCCGCTTGTCTCACAGGCTCTAGGTAGTATGAAGGAGCCCAGCCTTCTTCTGATCCCCAGCGAATGTACCACCAACCACTCTCCTGCTTCTCCAAAACCTCAACCTCCACCCCTGCTGGAAAGTTGATCTCAGAATCCTGGACCTTCTTGTAGGCATCCAAAGATCTGTAGAGAGTAGGGCCTTCTACATCCGAGTCACCCCGACTGCCTTTAGAGTAAACAGAAGAGAGGTCTGAGGTGCTGCGGGAACACATCGAGTCCTCTGACGAGATAACTGAGGCTGTTTCAGAATCTTCACCACGAGTTGCTTTCAGCCCGTGGCGAAACTGACTTGTAGGCCTCAGCTGTCGTCTCAGGGAACTGATATCCATCCTCTCTGGACTTTGGGGTTCTGATTTGGTCAGGAGAGGTTTAGGTCGGACTGAAGGTTTGGGTCTAGTTGAGGGGCTCTGGCCTATTCTCTGCTCCACGTCCCGACTGAAGGTGGGCCCTTTCTTGGGCCCTCTGGTTAATTCATCTGATGAAGAATGGGGGCTGTTGTCCTGTGACCTAAGGCTGATATCTATGTGTCGGCCCAGGGTCTGGCTTCTTCTGGTCATCTCTGGTGTCATGGTTTTCATGGGTCTGCCGGCTAAAGGTGAGGATCCAGAGGGTTTGCGTGGGACTGTGGAGGAATGATAGATCCTTGGGGAACTTGGTTCACTGGCACCTTTAACAGAAGTGCTCTCAATGCCACTCTTCGGCCTGAAGCCATCATTTTCGTAGATGCATTCTTCTTTTGCAACCTCTTCCACAGATCTGAAGGAGGATCTTCTGTGAGTGAAAACAGGGGACGCTTTGCAGACAGGGGGAGAAGCCTTACAGGAAGGAGGAGAGGCTTTACAGGAAGGAGGAGAGCTGCGGTATTTGTCGCTGACCACATTAGTGATCTTTACATCCAGGGAGCGCTCATCCTTCAGGGAATCAGTGTCGGATTCACCCTCACATCCGACTGCAGGAACATCATACTCAGGTTCCTCATACACGGGCCTGCTCTGCGGCTCTGCAACTTTGGATGCAGAGCTTGCAGGAGGAGGGGTTTCTTCAGAGTCTTGTTTTTTGACAGGCGGTGCAGGAGGTGGGACTTTTGGCCGGGTCAGGGTGCTGGTCCGGCGGCTGAGGTTTGGCTTCTTGCGCTTGTCAATGTAGGAGCAGGGGGCCCAGCCCTCCATCTCTCCAATCTGCACATACCACCAGCCCCCAGGGTTCTTCTCAATCACCTACACAACAAGACAAAGCAGACAGTTACCATTAAAGTTTGTGGTTGCTGCATGTACACAATTTTAGATCTGGTTTGAGGTCTGAACTTACACTGGTTAGTACTCTAAAAACACCACGTTTTGCTTTGTGGTAAAACTTCACATCTTGCTTCAGTTTTTTGCATCTGATATTCAGTATTTTGATGTGGGCCTGCAGTAGGTTTCTGTAGTGTCTAAAAACCCTCTGTCTATCCATCTTGTTCAATGAATCATAAAGTCCGTTTTCTAACAGAATGGTAAATTTTCATGAGTATTATAAAAAAAAATTCAGGTTGAATGAGACTGAAATCGATACGGCAAGATTCTCTTTATGTCCAGGTGAGAGAGGTTGGATTTCACCAAAAGGTGACCTGAGAAGCAGATACAATACAATACACCCCATCCCCAGCTCCTCCGCTTATGCTGTGTCTGGTCTTATATATGTATTGTTACTATGCTGGCTCTGTTCTATTATGGGTTTTTTCACTGCTGCTGCTCTCCCTGCCTTGGCTATTGATATATACGCAAATGAGACAGAGAGGAGGTGTGCTCTCCTCTACTTATGCACGTGGAAAAGCAGGAAACTCTTATACTGCCAAATATTACAAATACATTCTTTGATGAAAGTTGCGCTGTACTGGAAAAAAGTAATAACACAATAGTTTTCCTATC